ATATATATATATATATATGTTATCTTCCACGAATGGGAAACAAGCGAGTGGTCGATGCGCAAAGCTGCCTTTCGATTGCCCATGCATAGCCCCCCATACTGCCGTGCCCAACCGTGCTGTTAGCTGTCACGTTCGCCTCACCCCCAAGAAAGAAGAGAGAAAGAAAACGAAGGCACGCAGGAGTCGCGGTGCACGACACGTACACGTACTATACCATGCAATGCAACAGCGCCCTTTTCGTTCCCGCTTGAACCGGCTTCCGTCACGTTGCTCGATCGATGCGTTCCACTGGGCGCTGGACGACGGAGACGGTAGGAGGGAGGCATCGGCGCTGGGCGATGGCGTGTGCGTGTGCGTGTGCATGTGCATGTGCATGTGCGCCCCGCCCAGCGCCCACACCACCTTGGACGGCTGGACGACCAGTGGGAGTACGAGAATATGGCCGGGTCCGGGGCAGAAAAATCTGGGGCCGGGGGCCGGCCGCTCGTGGCCTCACGATTGTCCTATGGCCTGGCCGAGATCGCGCGGTGGGAAGCTGGGAATAGTTTAGGGGCCGGGGGTGGTGGCGGGCAGCGCCCCACGTCGCGGCCAGGCGCGCGGTGCGACCCGGCGCCTCATCGGCATGCCGCACGCACGCGGCTTCGCCCGCCATCGATCCCCATCCGTCCGCGCGGCCTGGGATTGCCTACCTGCCTGCCTGGGATGAGTCGTGGTCGTGGTTGGCCGACCAAACTAACTACTAGTACTCCTATACGTATATCTGTGTCTGTCACTGAACTGCGTCTGGATTATGTTATTGATTGATGGAACACGTGAGAGATGTTGTGTCGCCGACACCAGGCTGTGTGTGCTGTGGTGCCGATGGTTGGTTGCTCTTCTTCATCATGTTATTATACGCGTAGGAGAGAGAAATTCTCGGTATTAGTATGGTTCAGCAGCAGAAAAATACTCACTACTACAAAGGTAAAGTCCTTCGGGTAAAGTTCCAGCCTCATCGGTTCGCTTCTGTTTTTCTTTTTCAAGAAGAATCTCAGGTTTCTCCATTGAACGGATGGGAAAGGTTTGGTGCGGATTGCCGCCCGGGCTGCTCTTTCTCTTTGCATCATCATCACTTGTAAACACCCCTGCGTGCCATCGTGCTTGTGCCTGCTGCATGTACCACAGGCACATATTTCGGGAAGTTGCAGGCTTGCAGCGACCTTTGCTTTCGGTCGTGTCGTGCTTGTGAACCGTGGAGCCGGAGAGAGAGGGAGATCAGCTGATTGGTCGGTGCGCTGGAACTAGCCAACCCACCATCAATTTTTTATTTCCGCACTTCGACATCTTCGCTTATTATTTTTGTTCCCATAGGCAGGTTAGAAAACCTTATTTGCATGGCTAGGATGACTCAAGCTCGTAAACACACTCTCTCTCTCTCACGTACTCAAAGTCAATGGGTGATAACTAATGGGAGACAAGGCTAGTAGTAATCCTTACCGGAATGGATTTTTTAAACCCTATCTCCGCAAAGGTGGAAAAGCACAAGCATCTAAGGCTTATATGCAAGTTCCTAGATTACAAACACGTGAAATTCTTAACCCTATTTCCATCAACTGAAGTGCAGTTGTTTGATGGTTAAAAATTTAAATTAGAATTTGACCCTAACACCAAGCGATATTCAGTATATTTGACCCATCATCTTCAATACCGAGTCATGTCCCTCTGTATTGACGTGCACTCACTGTGGCCTGACCCACCATTAACGACTTGTTGCTGCCCCTTACACATACCCGCTTCTGGCGCATCACCCCTGACCTTCCACCGCTCGACACTTCAGATCCTGCCGCGCCGCCCCTTACCCTCCACCACCTGATGTGCCGCCCGACGCGCCTCCGCCCAACATGCCGCAGTCGTAGCCGCCACAACCGCTTGCGGGGCAACATGGCTGGCGTCAGTGAGGCCTTCTTCTTTTCCCCATGACCAATGCCCCTTCCTAGGATTCCAAAAGCCAATATAATAGGCATCTGAACAACCAAATTTGAGTTTTGGTCAATTTATACCAATGCTAGTTTGTTATTGAACCCAATTCGATTCCATGTCCTACATATTGCACCCAAAAAACCGGATAACCCCTTAGTGTCTTCTTTCTCCAGCTTTAAAATATATTTTCTAAGTTTCGTGTGTGTGCGATGGCTTAGATTAGATGATCTAGAAAAATAATATTAGTGCCTCTTAGGCTGCACATGCCCTAAAACAGACACAGACTCAGTAACTTACCTCCTGTAAGTTAGGACGTAACTTAGTGTCCATCTCGGTTGTTACTTTCTCATCCAACGGCTTACCCTATACTGGATGACATTGACAACTGAGGTGACAATAGTGGACTCCATGTACGCGTGAACTCGGACGTTCGGCGCATGCCCTAAAACTACTACGTACTAGTAACGGTAGAGAGCAATAGTTAGGGCATGTTTGGTATGAATTCTCTTCTAGATTCACAATGTTGTTTTTCAGCCTCTCACCAAACATGCCATTTGAAAACATCAAATCTGTTTTTCAGCTCAGTTAGGACATGTTTGGTATAAATTCCCTTCTAGTTTCACAAAGTTGTTTTTCAGCTTCTCACCGAACATGCCATTTGAAAACATCGAATCTGTTTTTTCAGCTCCCCTTCACTAATGAAACTGAGGTGGTGTATCAAACTGTCTCTTTAGAGATCGCCTACAGAGGAGTCTCCTAGTGAGTAGTGGCGTATGCCGGTTTTCTTCTTCCTCTGACCCCTTCCCAGCTCACACCTGCTCCGGCCCCCTTCCTCTTAGCCTCCGGCATCTCGCCGGCAGCTAGAGGGAGGTGGGCCGGCCCCGCCTCTGCCTGTAAATTTCCTTTTAGCTTGCAGCTAGTTGCCCGGATGGGTGTGTCGCTCCCTTCCATTATCTGTTCTTGCCGTGTTGTTCATGTTCTTCGTGTTCACCGGTGAGTATGAAAGCAAGGTGAGCTTCAACAAAATAAATACTACTAGTACTTTCTCTTCTTCTCCCGTGCAGATCCGCCCCCATCCACTTCCATCCACCTTTTCCTGGATCAGCTCGGGTCCATCTCTGGTTCGGTTGTCGTCGTTGCTCATCCAGTCGATGTTCGTTCGTCTGGCTAAGCTGCGGCTCCAGCCGTTCCTCCTCATCACCACCGCAAACCATCCCCTTGCTACCAGCCTTGAGCAAATCGACAGCTGCTCGTCCTCGTCATGCCTTTCGTCGGAGCCTGCTGTGCTACCGAGTCCGCTAGAAGTCATGGCGCGGCTGTGGGGCTCGACAACGGGGAGGCCGGGGCGTCACCAAGAAGGGCGAGGTCGACTACGACGAGCTTGGCGACGAGCTCGGCAGAAAGTTTACGCGGACAAGCGAAGAATGTCTTTGCAGTTGGAGATTATGTGTACCTCAAGGTGTCTCCTATGGGAGGGGTGTATCGGTTTGGTGTCCATAGCAAATTAGTCCCTCGATATATGGGTCCTTACAAGGTTTTGGAGCAGTGTGGTCCAGTTGCTTATCATCTCCATCTCCTAGATATTTTATCAACGGTACACAATGTGTTTCACGTATCTCAGTTGAAGAAATGTTTGCGGATCCCTGATGAAGCTGTGGAAATTGAAGGGTGTCACCAAGAAGGCTGCGGGGCTCGGTCCTCAGATTTGGCATTGGTTACCCGCCAACGTCAGTTGAAGTCGGTCCTCAGATTTGGTATTGGTGACTGTGGATTCATTTTGTTGAGCTCGGTGAAACCTTCATCCTATCTACAACTCAAGACTATTTATCCTCGAAGACACAGGCCGATCAGACGGTTGAGGGAAGCGCCGACTGTGCTATCTGAGTGAGAGAACGAGGACCCTCGATGTTTCTACCGTGGCCACTTCTCTTGGGCCCGTGTCCCCGACGGGCCTCGCGTCCCCGACGGAAGCATCACCTATGTCTACAGGAACAATAGATTAGCAGTAGCTTTTACTTGACTGTGCTCTGTAATCTGAAAATTCTTTTATATTAAAAGTTGTTGTCAAAAAAAAACTGTCTCTTTAGTTGGATATAGTTCTCAATTACCGCTTTCAAAAAAAAAAGTTCTCAATTACCTTTCCACGAGTGGCTGGCCCGGCACCACAGAACCCGCACCGAACTACAGGATTCCTGACCGAAACAAGCGGCCAGGGTTGCAAGAAGCCGCGACGACGCGCGAGCCCACCCATGCCGTGCCAGATGGCCCCGCCCGAAAGCGTGAGCCGTCCGGGCGGAAGCCAACCAGGAAAGGAGGCCGCAAAAGCAGAGAGAGCTCGTGCCGGAAGAAAAAAAATTATTCGTTTCCCCACCCATCATCAGCGACTGCCGTGGCCGCTACTCGAGTAGTAGTAGTAGTTCCTCCTCCTCGGCCTTCCACCGCTTCCCTCTCCTTCCATCCACTCATCCAGCACGCCACGCTCGCTCGCTCGCCCCCTCGCAGCTCGCTCGCAAGGGGAGGGGAAAAAAAGCAGGCGGAGCAGAGGGTCGGACGGCGAGAGAGAGAGAGAAAAAGGGAAACCTAGGCGGCTTTCCGTTTCGGGAAATTCCCGGGCGCCCCGTCCGCGCTGCTCCCGGCGCCGGTGGCCGGGCCTCCGCGCTCCCGCAGGGCCCTCCGCGGCTCGCCCCCGGTAACGTGTGGCCTTCTTTCGCCGCGGCGAATGCCGCTGTTTGGATCGGGCGAATCCTCCTAACCCGTGGCCGGGAACCGCTCGCGGGAGGGGGTCCGGGGCTTGTGGCGGCGCTGCGCTGAGGATGCGCCGCGAGGGCGGCTCGCTGCTGGTCTGCTGCGCGCGCCCGCCTCGAGGTATGGCTCCCCGCCGCTGAATCGGTCCTGGTGGCGGTTTTTGGCTTTGCGCGACTACGCCCGTGCGCCGTGACCTTATTGCGCGGGCGCCGCGCGGTTTTCGCAGGGTAGGGTTGGTGCGATGGAAGGGACGACGGCGGCGGAGGTGGGCGGCGCCGGCGACGGTGCGGCCGGGGATGTGCAGATTAAGGGCGCCAAGGAGAATGGGCAGCCTGCGGCGGTGGCGGGCGGCGGCGCCGCCGCCGCAGCCGTCTGGCAGCGAGGCACTGGAGCCGGCCACGCCGCTCCTGCGGGACGACTGGTCCGAGCACTTCCCCTTCTTCACCTCGCTGGGCGGGTTCGGGGGCAGCTCGGACGGCGCGAGGGGCCTCACCAGCGTCGGCCTGTCCAATTCTGAGTCCAGGCCGGACAGCGTGACGCAGCGCGGCTTGGACCATGATGCAGAAGAGAGGGTGGAGGAGCTCACACTGAAGAATTGCATCAACGCTGATGTCCAGCCCGATGTTTCTGCTGGTGGGAGCACAAGCAGTGGGGATAGGCCTACTGTTATTAAGGGCCTGTGGGGTAACTTCACACGGATGGCCCGGAGAACTAGCGATTTGGCCAGCAGGGAAAACGCCGCCGCACTGAGTTATGGTGACATTGCAAACTTGAGGGCTGCTGATGCTTCTAGCAGGGAAAATCTGGCGACGAGCCTTGCCAACAATATCATCTCAAGGAACAACGATGTGTCTGGCAATGAGCCACCTGTGAGTCGTGTTGGATATGTCAATAATGAGTTCATGACGCCTTTTCGCAGCCAGCAGATTCTCTTGTCTCCATGGTCTAATCAGGACAGTGCTCCTCAAGTAAGCAGCTTCTCGAACAGGATTCTTGACCGGATGAGAAGTAAGACTGTGGCACCCCCATCTGGGGCTCTAGGATCACCACTTCAAAGCAAATCAAAAGGTAAAGGGGTTGCGTACCAAGGCGCACGGGAGGAGAACCAAGTGCAAGCTAATGCAAGACCCAGAGACCCTTTGGACAAGATTCCGACTATTCCTACCTCAGTTCATGATTCTATGGCCAGAGTGGACCCTATGCTTTTCAGTACTGATGGAAATGTTTCGAAACCCCACTCCGAGGGAACTAGCCTGAGAGAACTGATTAAGCCTGGGCGGCAAACAATGACCAAGTTTGAGAAAATGCATTTGTTTAAGCAAATCCTTGATCTTGTGGATAAGCGTCACGCACAGGGTTTTACTTTACAGCATTTGCGACCGTCATATTTTACGACCCTATCTTCAAATCAAGTTAAATATATCAGTTCTTATACTACACAAGATTTGCCAACATCAATCAAACAAGAGGTTGCTAGAGAAGATCTTGTGAATAGAAAAAGGGCTTTTGGCCATAGAATTGATCACCAAGGGTCTAATGGCCATGGAAATTTGATGCTGAAGTATCAAAAGGTTGGTGAGCAAGGCTCAGTTGCTACCAGGCGACCAGCAAATATGTTTTGGACTGACCAAATATGCGACAATCAAAATGAAGATGCCAATCCAGGTGTTTCGAGGCAAGAAAATTTTAGTTACACTGCCAGAGAACGTTTTAAGTTCGTCGAACCATATGGCAGTAATACATCTTGTGCTCAACATATATCTAGTTCTGGCACCCAACAATCAGAATTTGAATTGAGGAATCTTGAGGAAAGCTGGTACAAAAGCCCAGAGGAGCTCAGTCAATTTAAAGGGACATTCCCATCAAACATCTACAGCCTTGGGGTTCTTCTATTCGAGGTATATCAAATACTTCAGTGTCATTTTTCTCAGCAGTATCCCTATTGGATTTTGTAGAAGTGATGTGACATTGTGCAACTGCAATTTGTAATTTTGCGGATGGTATATTACTAATCATTTACTAGCAAATTCAAGTGGTGTACCTAAAATCTAGTATGAGCGGTTGGACTTCCAACATGCATACCATGGTGTTTCCCACCACATGTTAAACATGAAAGTATAGCATGTCAGGAAAATTAAAAAACGACACAGATAATCACATCAATTGTGAGATAGTTGTTTCCCTTTCACATGGTGATCTCCATTGCCAATGAAAAAAATGCGATAGGCATTCTGCTTTTTATTGGTGCATCAGCTTTTGGAATGCTGAAAGCACCTTGCTATGCAGCATATTTGCATCACACGTGCACCTTATAATGAATCTGGTTGTGGTTTCCATCTTTCCAATTGCTATTGAGGCCGAAGACCATGGAATTATGATAGTCTACGATTACCTTAGTTACCTGTGAATGCCGACTAATACCCTTGTTCTTACTATATGCATTATGTAGTCTCTTGTTATTATAGGATAATTCCACTTGTACCACTAGCACCATGCGTGCACAGATTTAATTGCTTACTACTGAAACCACCCTTCAGTTGGACTTCTCTACTTTCCGTGTGATTCTGTAGATTATATATCCTCTTGTTTCTGACTGATGTGTAAGATCCTATCTTAAGTCTGCCAGGCAAGGTATTTAATAAATCTATAATATTTTTGTCAGCTCTTTTGCTGTTCCGAGACATGGGAGGTGCACTGTGCTGCAATGTCAAATCTTCGCCAACGCATCCTGCCTCCAAATTTTCTTTCAGAAAGTCCCAAGGAGGCTGGCTTCTGCCTTTGGTTACTGCATCCAGATCCTTGTTCAAGACCAAAAGCAAAGTGAGTTTATTCATCTCTCTCATTTGGAGGCAAAATAAGAAAAATGCTTACTGATTACTGATTAGTAAATTAGTTTGATATAAGTAAAGGCCAATCTTCTTCTATCAGATGAATTTTGTACGGTATAGTTGAGTTTAGATAACTGTTTGTCCTGTGGAAGAAGTGCTAGAGCTTTGAAATATTTTATAGCATAAATAAGCTCTATCACACTCAGCTTCTTATATTTGTTACTTTCTTTGCTTCTGTTCAACACAACTGTACTTCTAGTTCAGGTTTTTATCTGATTATTTAGCTTTGTCTATAATCCATACCATGAATTTAAATGTTTACCTAACTTATGCCCTGAAATAACACCCTAAGTTCGTTTAGAAGTGTTCGACTTAGAAAAGTGTTTCCAAGTATAAGGATTACGCCATTCATCGCATGTGGAAATATGTTAGATATGCTTAGTATTATTCCTTTCGTGCCCTTTTAGCTGATGTTTCTTTGCCGTCTGAAGACTGGAAATAATAATTATATAGCTGTTCGTGCCTAATAGCGAGCTTACTGATTTTTCAGAGAGATTCTTGGATGTGACTTGATAAATGAGGGTCGGGATTTGTCCTTGTTAGATCAGACACCAGTTTCCATCAGTGAAGATGACACTGAATCTAGTTTGCTACTTAACTTCCTTTCTCAATTGAAAGAAGAAAAGGAGATGCTGGCTGCCAAGTTATCAGCAGAGCTTGGAAGCTTAGAAACAGATATCACAGAGGTTGAGAGAAGACACTCAGCAAGAATGAGATTGAGTTTAGAGGACACGGATGTACTGCCAAGTTCTGGTGCTTTGTCAGGAGCTTCTGTGAGTGCCCTTCAAGGTGCATTGCTCTCAGGTTTGCTACCGGCATCGTGCAAGTCGAGCATATATGTGGAGAGGGTAATGAGGAATTTGGTGCAGCTTGAAAATGCATATTACTCCATGAGGTCCTCCGTGGACACCTGTGAAACTAATGCAATCAAACGTCCAGATAATGAGGCATTGAGGGTCCGTGAAAATTTCCATCAACTTCACAGTGATTCTGATGCTAAGGGTGAGAAAACAGACCGTCTTGGATGCTTTTTTGATGGTTTATGCAAATATGCCCGGCACAATAGGTTTGAGGTACGAGGAATTCTGAAGAATGCAGATATACTTAACTCTCCGAATGTCATCTGTTCGTTGAGTTTTGATAGGGATGAAGAATATTTTGCTGCTGCTGGAGTTTCAAAGAAAATAAAAATATTTGAATTTGATGCACTCTTAAATGATCGTGTTGATATTCATTACCCACTGGTAGAGATGCCTAGCAAGTCCAAGCTTAGCTGTGTCTGTTGGAACAACTATATAAAGAACTACCTGGCATCAACAGACTATGATGGCACTGTTCAGGTATGTATCTAACTGTATGCTGCTATATAATTCCCAAGATACCCATTTATCTTATCATCCATGAACAGATTGGCATATTTTTCAGCCCTTGCATGTAGTTTTCCTTTCTTTCTTTTGATGACACCATCTATCCGGTTCAGATGGATTTGATCTTATATAATTTGGTGATGCTGCTTTTAGTAATGCACCGAAAAATGCTGACTGTAAATTTGAGATATTGTCAATCTAATTAGATTGGTTTATGTTGTGGGCACAGATCTGTGTTCCATAAGCTGTCTGCTGATTTACACTTCACATCCTCATAGTTTTAGCTTTGGTGAAGGCATTCTGTCTCCTGTGCCAATTTCTTCTGTTTGGATGCCTTCTTTGTGATCAGTATTATTATCTGAGAGGGAGCACAAGTAATCAAGTATGTTGATTGTTAAAACAAGTACTGTGAAGGTGAATTTGGTGAGCTTTAGGCTTACTGGTCATTGTTTGAGAATTGCATTTTCTTTTGTTGAGTTTGATGCACATGTTCCACTGAAAAGCTTAAGGGTTTGTTTGGCTGCACTTCACCCCAATCCACCCCAATACATGTGGATTGGGGTGGATTAGAGTGCAGCCAGACAAGGCCTAAGGTGTTGAGGATAACAAAGGTAGTTATTTATGTAGGCAGGTCAATAACATCATTTCATATCTAGACACGCTTGGATCTTCTAGTTGCTTCATGTGAAAAGCAGCATTCCTTATCATTTAGCATTTTTAGCCCTCAGCAATGCTCAATCGCTACATGTTTAATTTTTGAGCTGCTACCTTTACCCCTCGTTTATAATTTTATTATGGTTTGGATACCTCTTTACTGTTCCCTTGATACTTTACACCAAAGAGCAAAAGCCTCTCTGCTATAAGCATCATGCTCTGGGAGATGGACTTTGTGTTATTCCCGTGTTTCCTTTTTTTTAACCATTTGGCTTCATTATTATTGTGAAATGCAGCTATGGGATGCCAGCTCTGGTCAAGGATTCACACAGTTTACAGAGCACCGGAAAAGGGCTTGGTCTGTGAGTTTTTCAGAAGTCGACCCTACTAAGTTGGCAAGTGGTAGTGATGATTGTTGCGTGAAAGTATGGAGTATTAATCAGGCATGTTACTGAAATACATCCACTCTTTTCTTTTTCAGCTTACGAGGCAGTTTTCTTACTTGAGTACTTATTTTGAGCATGGGTGTTATGTCATTCATATCTTGTGTATCCTGTTAAAACCATTTTAGATAATTGATACTTAAGGTGAGACAGAGACATATCAAAGTCTTCGTTCAAAAAGAAAGACATACCAAAAGTCATCTAAGCTGTCATTTTTTGGCTGCCCCTTGAATGATAACAAACATATTTTGAAGGCTGAAAACTAAACAGAGTACACAGAAATCTGCAGTGCATGTGTGTAGACGGTCGACCGTTGACCCCTACTTTTACCCCCCATAACTTCAGTTCATAGTATGTTTTAATAGCATTTATTTTTTTTCTCAGAGAAATTGTATTGATACAATCAGAAATGTGGCGAATGTATGCTGTGTACAATTCTCTCCATACTCCTCCCACATGCTAGCTTGTGGTTCAGCTGATTACAAGATATACTGTTATGATCTGAGGAACACAAGGATACCTTGGTGTACTATTTCGGGACATGGAAAAGCTGTCAGTTATGTAAGGTTCTTGGATCCAGAAACACTTATCTCTGCATCAACCGACAACACATTGAAGATATGGGATCTTAACCGGACAAATTGCAGTGGATTATCTACCGATTCTTGCAGCCTGACTCTGAATGGTCATACCAACGAGAAGGTATGAGAAGGTTTTATGTACTGCATGTTTGTTTTCTTACATTAACTTGTTTATGGAATTAATCTGAACCTTACTAATAATGCTTGTGCAGAATTTTGTAGGGCTATCTGTTAATGATGGATACATAACTTGTGGCTCTGAAACCAATGAAGTGAGTATTTTGTTTCATGCATACATTTTCCCTGTCATGCAGCACTTGTTTTAGTTAAAACACAGTCAGGAATTGATTTTTTTAAGAGTTTTACCTCTGCTTTTAAGAAAGCAATGTAACAGTACAAGAATTACTGGGGTTACCAGTTACAAAGAAAGAACTCGATAACAAAAGCCCTAGTACAAGCACTAAATTTTGCCAACATCTGAGACAGAGCATCATGTTACTGGGCTTGAACCCCTTGAGCCAACTCATAATGGAGTCCTTCACCTGGGAAATTCGCTCCTGATCCTTCTCCTTAAGGTTGACGCCACCTCTGCATCAATGATAACGCAATGTAGATCACATCAGTTGGGGCCTTAGGTAAATGCTTTTCAATTGCCATCTTATTCCTGGAAGTCCACATAGCCCAAACAAATCCTGCAAAAAGGAATTGTGTTTTCTTCTTCAGTTACAAGCTTCTGACTGAACATCTATGTGCTGAGCACATTGGTATGCTCAGGAAATTGTGTTTGTTTCCCTCTCCCATAGGTCATAGCACAAGGCTATTACCATGGAGGCATGGACCTAGTCTCTCAGCCTACCCAGGTTCTCAGTAATATGACTAACAATCACAAGTGTTACATTTTTTCTCTGCCCCCCTTTGGAAAAATCACCTTTATCTATTTACTACAATTTGCGAACCACCTCTGCCATCCTTACAGTAATGATTCTCAATTTCTCATGTTGATGCTGTGGTTATCTCTAGTACTTAAAACAGTGGACTTGGTGTTGATGTGCCTGCCATTCCACCATTCTACCCCCTATATTTCCCTTTATTTATCCACCCAGCCACTAAACACAAATCAGTTGCACCCCCTACCCCAATCTTCTCAAACAGCTTTGTTATGGAACCAACTCATACATTTCTTTGATTTGAGTGCTGTTGCAACGCACAGGCAATTTTGGTAGTTACTATATCACACCAAGGTGACAGATTGCAAGTTGGATTGACAATCTGTTGAGAGTTACTAATATGGAACGTTGCACTGGGAAATCTTCAGCTTCTGAAATGCAGTTCACATATTTATTTATGGCAAATTTTGTATTTGGAACCAAGAAACATCTGTATTTTGATTTTGCCAATGAAAAATTGCATCTTTTGTTTTTGCTACTTGTTCTTTGGCAAATCTGAAAATCCTCCCATATATTCATTGGAATATCAATGAAGCATATTGATTTTTATTAACAAAAGAAACATATAGATGAATCTATTAAGTAGAAGGATTGCTCATATGCCTTTTGGTGTGTGCAGGTGTTTTCTTACTACAAAACTTTCCCCATGCCAATAACTTCTCATAGGTTTGGTTCTATTGACCCGATAACTGGACAAGTGACAAATGAAGACAACCAGCAATTTGTGTCGAGTGTTTGCTGGAGAGGGAAGTCAAACATGGTAGTGGCTGCCAACTCCAGTGGTAGCATCAAAGTGCTTGAGCTTGTGTGAATGATTCAATGGGAGTCATTGGAGAAGAAGGTTCTCGGGTTGCCATGCGGGCCTGTGAATGCTTCCGTGCCCTTGGTGATGCTCTGATGGCCCTGCTTATCCAGTGTCTGCATCCTCAATGGAAGCACTAAGTATTGGTTACCTCTTCTAGGTCTGTGGTTCACTGTTTTGCCAGGGCACTAAAAGATGCGACTGCACTATGCAAGCAACCTACAACACCGATCATTGGTTATTGGAAGCTTTGCTTGAAACTCCCAAGCAAACCAAAGAGGATTTTCAAGAGTATGATGGCTTCACCTCTATTTGTTGTGTTTGTAAATCTCTGGCATTTTGATACGGTACCTATTCATCGAGGACCCCAGGTCTGTACAGAATTAGGTGCCCTGGGCCTGATGAAATATACCATGCAAACTTCTTTTGGGCTAGAGAGGCTGCCGTGGTGCCTTACAATCGGTGGGAATTTTACCCAGTTTTGATGTGCGCGGGACTTTGCTATGACTGTTAAGAGCAAACAATGGAAAGAAAGGAAAAATGATCCTGTAGCTCGAAGAAGTTAATCGTGCTGTGTGAATGTTTCAAGGAGAATGTGTCTAATAATTTTCTATCCCCCTTCATTATTGTACATATATTTAGGCTGCCTAATGAAAGGCCTTGTAACTAGAGTAGAATGCTCAAAAGACGACCATGAGTTAAGTATAATGAATGGCCTTCTCAAAAGATTAATTAATGGCAGATTCATACATGTAAGTGGTTATTCTATTGATGTTTTGTCTGGAACAAGTGGACTGTAGCACGGCTGCAGACCTGCAGTGGAGCTCTGCTTATTTGCTTACGCCTGCGCACGCGCTGGCTGGCCAAGTCTTTTCCACTTTCCACTGTTGATGTTCGTTTGCCTGGCTGGCCAAGTATTTTGCATTTTCGAGATATACGAGCTGAGGGTGTATCTGATCAGCGACTTATCTTTTCTTGATTTTTTGATTAATCTTGTTGTCAACATGAGCCACATACAGGAACAGAGCATCAGAACTGGAGAATAGAAAACAAAAACGAAAATTGCAAACAGCAAAGGGGATTGCATGAATCAAGCAGAGACGGGAGACTGAATTTGTTCACGCGACCGGCCAAACATGGAAAAAAATCACAGGTGTGTATACTACTACAACGGTTTCCCATCTGTGACCCCCAATGATTTGCCAACTTTGGAGCGGAGAGATGGCAGCAAACCCGTCTCAAAAATAGGCAGACGTCCATGGACTCAACCAAAACTCCTCAATTTGCCTCCAATTTTGCTCGCCGCGCGCCGTCCCCCCTCCACCTACGTCTCCCTTTCTGCCATTGCAATCTTTTCATCCTGGAGGGGAGGGAAGGGAAGCTTCTGTCCGGCCTAGGGAGAGAGGGCGCGAGGAACAGGGGCTAGCTAGCAGAGGAAGAAGAAGAAGCGAGGAGCAGCAGGGTCGGCGGTCGAGCATGGAGCGTAGGAGGAGTCGGCACGCCTTGTTGCTCTTCTCCGCCGTCATGGCGTCCCTCGTCTCCGGTTCGACCGCCGGGATATACCACATCGTCGGCGCCGGCAAAGGGTGGCGGATGCCCCCCAACAGGACGTACTACGAGGACTGGGCGCGCACCAGGCAGATCAGCATCGGCGACAAGCTGAGTAAGGCGGCCGCGCGCGCACTTTTGATCAATTTCCACGGCGCGTGCTGTGCATGCATGAACGATGATGATGAACCGGTGCTCTCTTGCGTTCATTTGGCTACCACCAGTGTTCCTGTACCGGAGCGGGGTGCACAACATCGTGGAGGTGCCGACGCGGGAGCTGTTCGACGCGTGCAGCATGCGCAACATCACCAGCCGGTACCAGAGCGGGCCGACCATCATCGAGCTCACGGAGCCCGGCCAGCGCTTCTACTTCTGCGGCGTCGGCGAGCACTGCGAGGTCGGGCAGAAGCTCGCCATCAACGTGCTCCTCGTCGCGCCGCCGCCGCCGGACACGGAGGAGGAGGAGGACGACGACGCGGACAGCTCCGGCGCCTCCGCCCGGCTCTTGGCCCACGCGGGCGCGGTGCTCGCCGCCGCCTGCCTGTGCCTGGCGTCCGCGCTGCTAATGGCCGTGTGAATTGGCACGCCGCCGCCGTAGATTGGCGATTGCTGACGGCGTTGCTTGCTGATGCGTGTATGTGTATCCCTTACGCGCTGATTGTAGGACAGGACTACGCTTCCATTTTTCATGACGAGTGAAATCAGTAACAGTAAGGCTTGTCCATTTCCATTGAGCCATTGCCTTCCCCAGCCCATGGAATGCAGAAAGCAGTGTCCAGGTAACTGTTTGTTAGCAGGAAGGAGGATAGGAGGAAGAACAGAGGGGAATCGGAAGTAAAAACAGAGGTGAGTGAAATCTTTCTGTAAATTCAGAACTACTAGGTACTGTAATTTGTATAACTAGGCAGTAATTAATGTATATATATAATTAACCGCAAAAATTAACCATTTACTGTAAGTTGTGAATCGATCGGTGCAAATTTTGTGGATGTAGATGGCCTACTTTCACTGGGAACTGCGAAGATGTTGCCCATTCACCTTTACTAATATTCCCTCCGATCCTTCTCACTTCCAATGAAATAAATGTACAAAACTTTAAATACGAAAATCTTCGAAAACGCAAAATCGTTTTCGATTATTTTTACTGTTATAGTTTTTCATTTTTTTCATTACCGCTACCGTTTCCATTTAGGCCTAAAAATCAGAAAAAAAAAACTCAAAAACGATTTCTGAAAATAGGAGATTATCATTTTCGTTTTCATCCCTAGCAAATATATACAAGACAATATTAATATTTATGATATATAATTATAATTAATATTATTAGATAGATTGTTGAATATATTTTTATAATGAATTTATTTGGAGATACAAATGTTACTGATATTTTCTAAAAATCTAGTTAAACTTTAAAAAATTTGACCAGCATAAATACCATATAGACATGGACTCCATTGCCTCCCGAGATGAGCACGTCCTCATATGCTCACCGATATTCACCGGCAACACTCGGCGATATTGACTACTCTTGGAAAGAGCTGCGGGGCACTGGATGGGCCGATGTTGTTTGCCAGGCAAGGGTGCTCGACCTCGTACGAGGTGCGGGACATTGCACGACATCATACAAGGTGGCGGACCGGGGGCATATGGCCCCATGTGCATCACGATGCTCTTAGGAGCAAAATCAATATTCATGACCGAGAAGTTCAATGGTTCATTCCATTGATTTTGTGCGTGGAATTATCGGTATCCTCGTGCTATGGAGCTGATAGCCCTCGCCCCCCCCCCCAGGTTTTGTCAACACAATGGTGTAAAAGCATCTCCAGCAATACTACTCAAAACAGATTACCTATTTGTCTGTTTAGGTAGCCACCCATTTGATACTACCCATATTTTGTTGCTGTCTCCAGCAATATTAACTAAAATAGGCCATCCAAATCCATTCTGCTAGAGAATGACATGTGGGACCCACATGTCATCCTCTCGTCACCATTGATGAACTCAACCATGTCACCGAGGAGATCAAGGGCCGTTCTCGGGGGCGTCGCTCGAGGCCTCGAGGGTTGTCGGGGGAGCCAGTGAGGATGCGGCGTCGCAGCCGGTGTGGAGGAGGCGCCCTCATTGGTCAAGGACCGTCGGTGGGGGCACCGGTGGGGGGTCGTTGGTAGGGCCATCAAGGGGCACCAGCGAGGAGGAGGCACATTCGCGTGTGGGGAGGAGGCGGACTTCTGCCGGAGACGACGACGAGGAGCAGCTGAGAACGCGCGGCGATCTCCGGCGGAGGAGGGCCGCCAGCGGTGGTGGACCTCCAGATCCGGTGGTGGAGGGGCGGCGACCACGGCGAAGAGGGGCAGTGTCGAGTTCCCGGCAAAACCGAGCATGTGGGTGGGGAAAAAAATATTTGGGTAGTCACCTGTTGGCCCAACAGGAATGGGTGGTGGGAGGGGGATTTGGGGGGCTAACAAATTTAGGTGGCCTAGTAGGTAGTCTGCTGGTGTGAGTTTTTTTTGCTATCCACTAACAAAAAATAGGATATGTATTTTCATAGGTAGTGTTGCTAGAGATGTTCTAAATTCCATGTCTAGATAGCTGATTTATATATAAAAAAAATCTAGATATAGGACTGGTTGATACTTGATACTACTGCCCACATACTGTGCATAGTTCAGTTCAGTCACATGAACTTTACACCTCCAGAATCGTTGACCTTGAATATAGCAGCTTTTCCCTGTTGTTCCAGCCATCTCAGAGCACGCATTAGAACAGTGCTATCAATCCCCTCAAGTTCTGCATATATAACAGACAAAATTAAAATGGACCATCATACAGATGGAACCAGATTTGCAGGTAAGTATGTATGTACATGTAAATAGGAGGATTTTAACTATGGTTGTGCAATTTAACTAACAGTGGACATATCCTTGAAAGAAAGAGTATCATTTGCCTAAAATAATGACCAACTTCTCCCCACTGAGTTTTAACCAAAAGAAACGGCTGCATGTGACTATGGTGATTTGTGATGTCTCCTAAATCTAGAGATACACACCTGGGGAGTATATATATATATATATATATATATATATATATATATATATATATATATATATATATATATATATATATATATATATATAAAGATTAAGAGCTCCCGATGCACCGCTAAACCACATAATGATTTTTTGCATGCCCTCAAAATACAGCCATTTCCCCCCTCTTGTTTACATGAAAAATTTCTTTGAATAAAGAGACTAGAATCTCCAGGGGACAAAGATAATTTCCCACAAAGTCAGTTGCTTAGTGCACACGATGATGCAGCAATTTTCATTAACCCAACCAAGGAGGATCTAGAAGCCACCACGACCATCCTACATGAATTTGGCACATACAGAAAAGCACAGTCCACCCAATCAGATACCAAGATGTCGACCTTGATCATGTCTTGGCCTCATTCATAGGGACAAGAGAATCTTTCCCGTGCAGGTACTTGGGGCTGCTGCTACATACAAGATCTCTATAGAAGGTCCACGTGCAACCACTCATTGAGCGCATTGGCCAGAAATTGCTGGGTTGGAAAGGAAAGATGATGAACAGAGCAGACAGGCTAACCTTAGTCACCATGGTGCTCTCTTCAATGCCTACTTACCATCTCACGGTGTTCCCGCTAGCGGTGTGGGCCAGGAAGAAGATTGACAAAATCAGAAGATCATTCCTTTGGAAAGGAGAGGAGAACACTAATGGGGGACACTGTCTGGTGAACTGGCCGACGGTCTGCAGGCCCAAGGAGCTGGGGGGTATGGGTGTGCCGGACCTAGACAAGTTTGGTAGAGCCCTATGCCTCCGGTGGCTCTGGCAGGAGTGGGGAGACGATCCAAAGCCTTGGGTGGGCACGGACATGCCGTGCAACGACATGGATCGTTTGTTTTTCAACGCCTCCACTAGGGTCACCATTAGCAATGGCAACAGAGCGCGCTTTTGGCACCACAGCTGGTTAGAGGGAGAGGCGCCTAGATATTTGGCGCCGAACCTATTCAAACTAGTGCGCAGGAAGAACATGACGGTTCACCAAGAATTGAACAACGGTAATTGGATCAGATCACTACATACGCGCATCACTTCGACATTACAGGTCCAGGAGTTTGTTGGCCTATGGATCACATTGCAGGGGGTGCAGTTACAGCCCAACGTGCAGGACACGATTACATGGAAATGGACGGCTGATGGAAACTACTCCACCCGCTCAGCGTACATGATTCAGTTCTGTGGATCACACCGGAAATTCCGGCATGAACTTATCTGGAGAGCGTGGACAGAGAATAAGTGCAAAATTCACGCCTGGATCCTCCTACACAACAAAATCCTAACGGCGGATAATATGCAAAAGAGAGATTAGCCCCATCAGGACCATTGTGTCTTGTGTAACGGCCCTTTGGAGACATGGGTACATTTATCCTTGTTGTGCCCCTTTGCAAAAGCCGTGGGATCGGGTGCTGACTTGGGAAATTTTATCTGTGCTACTCCCAGAGCAAGACCCTGCCTCCTTGGCCGAATGGTGGGAAATTGAGTCCAGCAGGGTGCCAAAGCAAGATCGTAGGCGTTTGAATGGAATTGTTATCTACATCATGTGGAATCTGTGGAAGGAGAGAAATAGGAGGATCTTCGAAAATGTGTTCCAAATAGTGCAGCAGGTCACATGCTCGACCAAAGAGGATATAATGCAAAGAGATAGGGCTATGAATTTTGGTGTGGAGGCCAACTAGCAGTGAGGCGTCTTTTTCCTCTTTTGGTCTTAGGACCATGGTGGTGCCAAGTGTACATAAATCTCTTTTCCTAACTTAATTGAGCGGCGGAGCTCCTGCTATTTCCTTCAAATTTTGAATCCTAGTGTACACAATCATGTTTGCCACAGTTCAAGAATCTGTGGAAATCTCATGTTTAGAGACCATTAACTAGGCTTACCAGTTCCTCGAGTGTCAAATCCAGAGCGTATATCTTCAACAGGCATTGTGCTCCCCAATCGATTCTCCTTTACCTATACACAAAAGGCAACAATAATTCATGAGCTTACATTTTGAACGTTAATTCATGAATTTATGATGTTCTGAAGGCCGGCACTGGGGATGTCTGCTTGCATAATAGTTTCTTGTTTTTTGACATTTTAAATATACAGGTAATCACAAAGTTGAATATGTAGCTGGCCCAATCTTGAATCGTTAGCCAGAGAATGAGACACCTGGTGCAGTTCCTGTCCATCCACTCGGCACGCCCTGCAAATCAACCATGCAGTTGTGGATGAGTGCCGGTCATCACCCTAAACAGTGCAGAACGCATATGGCTTATTTTCACCAGGAACTGCAAAGATGCTTTAAGAACTTTATCAATTTCGTTATTCTCATTCACCTTCAGAAACAAGTGCTGAAAGGAAAACTTCTTTTGCTTCGCGGGATAGAGATCCTGCATTAAGACAAAAGACGGGAAAGTTTGTAATTCCAAAAAAGAAGAAGAAGAAAAATGCACAAGCCAACTCAAACAAACCACACCTAGCAGTCTAGCACAAAAACATGCATGATTAGCCTTTCAATAGGCTGGATCAACTCATGCACATGATAGAAAACAAAGTAATGTAGCACCAGCCCTATGAGTTATTATTATCATATATTAACAAATGATCTGAAATTAGCGGGTCCTGGATAACAACAGAAAATGGTAAATTGAGTAAAAGAGAAATAGGCAAGTTAAGGAAAAACGAAACAAAAGAGCAAGTTATTACTATCGATAGCTGGATTGGAGAACAATGGGAAATATTGTTCAAGTGAGATGATGTATATCCGTTGACTTCGACAATATTCAAGTGTCAGTTCTTTCCATAGACGCAGTTGCACTTCACGTGTTGCCCTCGATGGCTGCAAACTGAATGAAGGGCCAAAAATAACCTTATGCTGTCAACTAAGTAAAAGCTGACAACAGCAACATAGCCAAAAAAAAAAAAGAACGAAAAAAAAAAATCAACTGTGGAAGTATCAAGCAAAGGATATGAATTACGTGAAGGAGGTAGTTGAAGAAGTCTGGAAGGTTGAAATTCCCCAGCTGCTTCATCTTTCGTATCCTATTATTCTCCATCTCTTGGATCAATCGAAGCCACACTCTGAAACAATTGCACACGTTTTACTGTACTATACATATTATTAGGTGTAAAAACAAGGGTAGAAAGCAACAAGGAGATCAAAACGGTGGTAATTAATCCGATTGATTGATCTTATCTGAGTAAGGGGAGGATCAAACCCGCATTGACAAATAAAAGGCGAGGAGCAGGCACTCACTGAAACGTACCCTTGAGCGTTGATGGTGGAAGCGCGTCGGAGGGGAAAACAAGCTGGATGCGCTCAGACCCAGTTGTGGGCGGCGGCTATTCTTAGGCGGAGGCGGAGGCTGCTGCTGCGGCGGCGGCGGCCGAGAGCCCTAGTTCGTCGGCTAAATATGCCATGTATTGTATAGCTGGGGTCAAACGTCAAAACGAAAATGATATCGGATATCGGTTTAGAATCCGAAAACTACGACGGTAAAGAATCCGAAAACAAAAATGATTTAGAAAAAAAGTCCGATTCCTTACGGTTCTTTCACCGAATTGAATGAGATTAGAGAAGCACGGCCAAGACGTGGAATTTCGTTCATGCCACTTAAAAACTCGCCTTGATAAAATAAAGTGGAACCTTTAGAGTAGAAATATTGATAGGAGCTTACTATGCAATGTGCCCGCCGCTCAGCCCACCGCTTGCTTGCCTATGCGGTCCACGTGACGCACTCAGTCCCTGTACACTCGCAGACGTGCGGTCGAACAGCTAGCGGAGCGCACCTCCCTCGGTTGTCAGCTGGACCCGTCAGCGGCCAAAACGGATCTGCAGAAAACGGCAACGCTCCAGCGCCCTTACCTTTGCGTCGGGTCCCATATCGGGTGGTCGTCTCCCACGCACTCCCTCTGGTTGCCCCCACTCACGGACACGCATCAGAACATGCATGCTCGCCCTACTGCTCGCTACACCCTCCTCGCCGTGTTGTTGCTTGCCCACGCCCAGTTGCTGCTCGTCTACGCCTTGCTCCTCGCCCGCACCATGCTACGCGCTTGCGTCTGCTCGCCCTGTTGTGCCCCCTACGCTCGCCCGCCTTGTGGGGACCGCCTGCACCTAAGGGACTGCCTGCGCCTCATGAAACACTTGCAACATGAAGGACTTGCTCCCCCACAGTTTTTGTTGTAAAAAACATGGAGGACTTGCTGTAACATGCGTCTAAAACAGATAAAACATTTAGAACATATGATTACAACATATGTGAGTAGCCATTGCAACATATACAATATTTAGATAAAACACTTGCAACATGCTTATGAAACACTTGAACAAAAACTCCTGAAAACACTTGAAAACCTTTGCAACATTCAGATAAAACACATGCAACATATGTGTGAAACATACGCAACATCCATATAAACACACTTGCAATATATGTCCGAAAATACAGATGAAACATTGGTAACAAACCTTTGCAACATTCTGATCAACTTTTGCAACATCGATATAAAACACTTGCAAGCATACCTACGAAACACACAAACACTCAAAAGGCGTTTGAACATGCTCTTTTGAACATAAATATCTCTTGTTGCTTTCCAAATGGAGGCTCGTACATACAGGTCACCGGGTGTGGGGTCGATTGCGCAAAGCTAGGTTAGTGTCAGAGGGCGGGTGTTCATTTCCTGACGCACTTTGCAATAAGTGGGTGGTTGGCGCATGGATACAGTAGTGTGCTACACTGGCGTTGCTTGAGCTTGCAACTGATATATGGAATCAACACATTTTAGGACCAAATTGGGAACGCGGTGTGTGACGCAGAAGCTTATTTTCTATGCGGGCGCATTCGCCTCGATCGCCTTTTGCAAAGGGACATCTCTAGGCTTATTCAATCGGTACCTCCTCTCTTCCAAATTAAGCTAGGCTGAGAGCATCACTTCGGGGAAAACAAAGCAGAGTAGAGAAAGGAAAACAGAGCAGAGAAGAACGTTAACGCAGTGGAAGCAGGTAAGAAAGTGACGAGTGGATGATAATAAGAGACATGAAATGAGCAGGAAATAAAAAAAAAGCAAAATTATGGTGTACGTCGTGCCACGTGTCTGCACGTGTCTGTTCGGAGGGAGTCGCTGACGTCGGACGTGCTGTCCGTAGCATTACTGATATTGATATGTGTTGCATTGAGATAGTTTATTTTTTCTCGGAAGGATGACAGCAGATTTACCATAATTTTAGACGAGAGAATAAAAAGAACAGGATACAAAACACCCAACCAGCCCGACCAAACGCAGAGAACAACTGCATTGAGATAGCGGATAGAATAGTTGTGGTGAGTGCTTATATGTTTCAGGACCATCCCTAGCTATGACCCTAACTAGTAGTTGGTCAGAAATTATGTTGAACCACAAAAAGTGACAGCAGTGATTTGTGTTTGTCGGAGCCGTACGTATCAACATGTGTTGTCATTGAGTAGTACATGATTACAAGGACACACACGCTTTTATTCCTAGCAAGTTGTGAGCATAACTGAGAGCCTTATATTTCCTTTCACCGCTATTGTTGAGAAAGGTCATGCGATCTTGGAGCACTCTGGACACCAGAGACGCCCTCTCGACCTGCACTTTGTGCAAGGAACCAAATTGTCAGTCTTGGCTTCAGCTCCAAGGGACTCGTAGAGATCATCCAGCATGCCCAGATTGAGTATCCGTCCGTTCCGAGCTGAGCCTGTTCCTTTGCACTGCGAGCATGCTACAATCCGAAGATCACCACACCTCTTGCACATACCTAGTGACCTGCCATGCATTTGAACATTGTTCAGCAGATAAAAGATGAACAGTGGAAATCATCAGTTATGTATTTTCTGAACTCAAGTCATCTTCTCCAGTTATCTACACCGTACCCCCCTTTTTTTTTCCCCCAAGGCATTTGACCATGTGTTTTTGAACATAAGTCATCTCCAAATATGCTACTTACGTACATCTTTTTTTTGGGGGAGAATTGCACTGAGGGAGATTAGTGTCAGCAGTTTCATTTCCTGACGCACTTTGCAATAAGACGGTATTCCTCATACAGTAGCAGGCTACCAATTGAGGTTGACTATATATGGAATCAACACATTTTAACCAAATTGGGAACATGTACTGCGCAAGCTTATTTTCTATGGAAATTCATTCACCCTTTTGGGCTTTTGTAATTCCCCAACTATTCTACTCTAATTCATCTTCCCTACACTACTCCAAATTAAGATGCTAGACACTAGAACTGGGGCTAACAATAATGAAACAAAAGGCAGGGACGGAGAAATGGGAAGAGGGAAGGGACCTTCTTTGGGAGGAGGCAATGAAGCCGTCGACCTTGGGGGCAGCGATGGTGGCGCCGAGCAGCAGGGCACCCACCACGAAGCCGGCGATCTCGCTGGACGTCAGCCCCTCCATCTCTCCTCCCTCTCTGCCCACGCGCTTGCGCAGTCGGCGCTGCACCGTCCAAAGCAATTCCCCTCACTGGACTGGATATGAAACTTGCAGCTCTACGGCATACTAGAAGCCTAGCGATCTTTGCATTAGCAATGTACAGATACAGAAACCAACCTACCTGCTGCCTGCGCCTTCTCGGCTTCTGCACGCCCACTCGCGCCGCCGTTCGTTGGACGACGATGGAGAGGATAAGATTGGGCTCTGGGCCTTGTGGGGCTGGAGGTGGGCGGAATAAGATGGGCTGGCTGGGCCAACATCTAGTGCTGCATTGGTCGCCTGTTGGACTGGATGGGATTTTTTTTATGCAATGGATGGGATTTAGATATGCTGTTTCCTTCTTTCTACCAAAAAAAAAAAAAAACGGTTTCCTTCCGCTTGCCATCTCAAGTTCAAAACCGGTACCGACGCGGGCGTCCGTCCATGTCGTACGGACTCAGCTTCCACTTCCCACCCGTCTCTCTCGAGAAAAAAAAATTCTCGCTTCAACCCGCCCTACCCATCTCTTAATCTCTCTCGTCTGCTGGCAGAGCCCCACGTCGCCACCGCTATCTCCTTCCTCCACCCAAGCCGACCATACCATCTCCTCCCTCAGTTAGTGCAGCGCCTCCCTAGCCTCTTCCTCAACCCAGCGTTGTCGGGATACCTCGCCGTCGCTGCCCCTGCCAATGGCGGTTGGGCACACCCTGGCCAAGCCAAGGGCACCACGAGTGCGGTCGGTGCTAGTGGTGCTCGTGCACCGTCGCTCACTGTCGGCTCCTACCTTGATGCCCGAAATCGACCGGCCCAGGCCTCTACCCTATGTTGCAAACATATGTTTCAATTCTTTTAGATGTTTAAGAGGTATGTTGCAAGTGTTTCATATGGATGTTGCAAAAGTAGATCGGAATATTACATATGTTGCTATGACTATACACGTATGTTGTAAGTGTTTTTATTTGGATGTAGCATATGTTTTACACATGTTTAAGTGTTTTATTGGATATTGCATATGTTTTGCAATAGCTTTTCAAGTGTTTCATCCGTCTTTAAACACATGTTGCAAATGTTTTATGATATTTTAAAAGTGGGTCGTCGGATGTTGCACATGTTACAATGTGATTCAAAAGTGGATCGTCGGATATTGCACACGTTACAATATGATTCACTTCATCCCAACGCTAGTACTTCCCTCTCAAAATTCAAAAGGGTTTTAGATATTATAAATAAACGGGTTTCCGTTGGTAGCCTTTGGGTGCTTGGATGCTCTGTCCTCGTCGATCAGAGTCAAGCCACTCTTATACTACGTACTACAGACTACACTACAGTACAAGGTCAGTCGTAAGTGGTGCTTAAGTGGTGCTTAAGACTCCCAGTTGACACTGCTAAAGTCCACTCGTGCTTTTTCAGATCATTGTACTCTTCCGTGGAGGAATTGGAGGAACAACAATATACTTAATAAAAAATAACAAGCCACTAATTGGTTAGTATTTTATATAAAAGCATGAACCCCCGATAGGTAGGGTAGAGATACATGTGCCGCCATGTTCATCTCACTCTCATCATCTGCCTTGTCCCGCCACATGCTTAATTTACGCATGCAATTATTAGTAGTTAGTACCAGGTTCGGTTACGGTATTATTAACCGAGCATATATATATCGACTCGCCAACTATTCCATCGTGGTTTGCAACCGTAAATCAAACTTGCAGTCGCATTTTTTTTTGTCTGGCTGTGCACTTTTGCACTCTGCTTGTCAGAGTTCGAACTCTCTTAGGGTGGATTTGTTGGCCAAAGGAGGCGTTGTTTATTTGAACGTTGAAAAAAAAATCTCCTCGTCTATCCCACGCTAAAACACAAGTCTAAGGTCAGTTTAGTTTCACGGAAGCTACGGTGCCGTTGTGTATATGGATGGGCAGAGGTTCGAGGGTTTTCTCGACATATGTGAGAAGGTCTTCTTCTTAAGTACAATTCCGGGGCTGTCTTACCCCCACGGGTCGAGTACATGTCACTGCGAGGGTCCTGTTGGCTTGAACTTATCAGCCCGGCTTATGAGTCATGGTATAATATTTTTCTCTTACAATAAATCAGTGAACATTATTTTTTAGCCTAGCTTTTCAGCGAAACGAAGAGGGCCGACACTGAATATACTGCGTCCTTTGGACTTTTGGGGCCAGTTGTTGCTTATATAATTTTGATCCGCCAGTAGTTGAAGCTTACAGTATATATTCTCGAATTTGAGCTGGACAATACATTCACCGGAGAGGACTAGGAGAGAGCCACAGATCGAGCTGCAGGGAAGCGCGATGGGCTTCCTGCCTCCTGACGCCACGCTGCTTATCATCGGTGGTGTGCTCCTCCTACTCGGGCGCGCCGCTGGGGCTGGAGCAGGAGCAGGAGCAGGAGCAGGAGGAGACAATGTGACCATCCCGTCTGCCGCAACGCTCGCCCACTGTCCCATGACGTGCGGCGACATTACCTTCGACTACCCCTTCGGCATCGGCGCCGGCTGTTTCCGGGACCCTGACTTTGAGCTCATCTGCAACTACACTACGCAGCCCCCGAGGCTTTTCCTCAACGACGGCGACACAGAGGTCGTCCACAGCATCGACCTGTCTGACCTCCTCAACGACGGCGACAAAGAGATCGTCCACAGCATCGACCCGTCTGACCGCACTAATAATGATCCAGGTACGCACATAAAGGGTAGTCTAACCACAAACTTGTACACGATAGTTTTTAATAGATACGTAGTTTCTTTAAAATAGATTTTTGTCCAATCGTCTATCATCTCTCTCCTACCATTCACCTATTATATTTCTTTCCATCTTGGTTCTTGTATGGACATAGTTTCCTGTACAAAAACCAATTTCATTCTTTCTCTTATTAATATCAATACTATGTTACCATTTTACTTAGTTGATAACCTAATTGGTGTCTATAGGAACCATCCTACTTCCTCTGTCATGAAATATAGTATATTTTGGCATATGAAGTTTATCCTCAAATATAGTGCATTTGGGGAACAAGAAGATAATGTTTACTTAAATAAAAATACGTGATTATTTTGTATAAGGAAGGTAACTCATGTACTTGCCATATTTTGTGCAAGGAAAGGAGACTAAGAGTTCACCCTTTAATCATGCAGAATAGAATCAGATTTCAATACATTAACAAGATAAGTGAGAGGGTACATACGTCTATTACATTCTCCCTTATTTTGTCTTCGAATGACCAGAATGCACTATATTTCAGGACGGATGGAGTAACTTCTAGGCTGGGACTACCCTAAAGGCAACTATAACTCAAACACTACTAGGCAATTTCTATATTTATCATGTCATATAGACACTACACATAGAAACTATATTCCAATTAATGGTTTCTTCAAAATAACTTCCTATCCAATCCCTTGTCTTCTCTCTCTAGGTCTACTTCTCTATTGCTTGGTTCTTGTGTAGACCTATCTTTTTTTTTATTAGAAACCATTTTCTTGTCCACTTCTTAATTCTAATACAACATAATCATTTTCTTACATACCATCTTAATTGTTGTTATAGAAAATATCCTAGTCATCGTGTTAGGATTGCCCTAAGCACTTTAGGTTACAACATCATACATATGGGATTCCTTATCTAGTAACAGCTCCTCATCAACATGTATTGAATATTATACAATTGAAAAATAAAATTGGAACTTGGCCAAGCAACATTTTTTGAACAAAAGACAATAGATCTCAACTTGGTACAATACTCCGGAACCTGGTGAAATTCCATAAAACTTGGACAATTATTTTAAATTATTAAATGTCCCAAACAAGCTTCCACATTACTGATTCTCATGGAATGCACTTAGGAAAAAAATAAATCATAGAAATTCTGAAAAAAATTTACCAACCCTAATCATCTTTACTATAATAGCTATTAGATCTATTTTATTCTTTAAAAAAACTATCTCCCTCTAAAATATCCCATACATCAATATCTAAATTATGCACCTTTGCCATTATCAAATTAACTTAAAGTAACACCTATATTCACATCTAAATTATCCACCCTACCATTATAAAAAATGACTTTGAATTGCCCCTTAATTTGCCTTTTAGACTACAATCTATGCCACTATAAAAATGACTTATAGTCCAAAAATCTTGATATAAGTTACCTATGTTTTTCTATTATGAGAAATAATTAAAATAACCATGAATAGGTTTTTTTTCTCCCATTGCAACCCACGGACATATTTGCTAGTCAAACTCATATCCCATTATGAAAAATATATAAGTCAAAGTAATGCCTTAAATCTAGATCTAAAAACCCCACATTTTCCATTGTGAAAAATAACCACCCACAAATTTGCAAGAAATAATCCAAAGAAACCTTGAGGCTTCTAAACTAGCAATTTGGCCACTATTAGCCACAATTCATTTTAGATGCCGATTTGGACCTTGTTTGTTGTTACAGTCTGCAAGCTAAAACAGATAAGACTCAGAATGTAACAATCCATAAGTTAAATTGTTACTATGACAATTTGCTTTCCCCAACTAATATTTATATTAAAACTAACCTAAAGAAACACTAAAATTGCATCTAAATTACCTACATCTTTCATTATAAGAAGATTCCAAAGTACTCCTAGACATGCTTCTAAATTACACACATGCCATTATTGATACATGAAATTTTAGGTCAATTTATACATGCATGATGTGTGCCACACGAAAACTCTATATATACATGTATCCATGAAGAAATGGGCATAGCAATTTACACATCAAACACATAGCTCAACCCAAGGTTTTAACTAAAAATATATCAAACACACGTGGAGGTGAGGTCTTTGAAGCTAGGCCTTTGTCGATGTTTCACCACCGATAGCCTACCACGGGGGTACCCGGGGCAGTTTGTTTGGGCTTCAGCGTATGCAGAACTCGACGGTAAACACAAGAGATAGTCGATTTATCCTGGTTCAGGCCCTCGACCATG